CTACAAAAGCTGAAGTCGTGACAAAATTGACCCATTGTTAACATAAGAAAAAAAAAAACCCTATAATTCCGTTTAAAAATTTGTAATGACTTTTCCATTTGAGAACTAAATTGCATTACGTTTATTACTATTTAAGTTCATGCTACGGTATGTAATATTCATATTTAAAAATCATTCAAAAAAATCGAACAAAAAAATAAAGCTAATTATGTCAGGTGACCAAGGACAGATATAATGTGATCAACTTAAATTCAAAAGCATTTAGAGTGTGTTTTTGATGCTACACACAGCCCATTAACAGTGTGAAGCATTTGGTAAATGCTGAGTGGATTTTTAAAAATTTGTCATGGTCTGTTGTACAACAAGCGATCGCACAGAAAATCCCTCAACTTATCCCCTCACACACAATGGACAACAAAGGAATTCTAGAGATATTTGAAATGCCATAAAAAACTCCTACCTATACAGAGCAGAGATGTACATTTTATATGACAATAGGAGACCTTCAACATTATATTCAAAAACTAAAGAAAATCGGAAATAAGTAGTTACAAGGAAAGTAGTGAACGACTCCAACAAAAACACATTAGAATTATAAACTATGTTTCCAATACAATATGTTTTCATTGCATGTACACAGCAGTATATAAGAGAGTTTGACGACAGATACCGTAAATCATTAAAAATTTGATTCTTACAAATTTATACAATTTAAGGACGAAATGTTTATTTCAAATTAGAATAAATTGCAGTGTTTTCCCAAGGTACTGCCAACTTCTCTGAAGTGTAACTCTACCATGCATGCGTGCTATTTAGCAATTAGTATGTCCCTGTAATGACTGAAATTCGGACGTGACGTTTGACAGCAGATCGGGAATATTTATAAATTACAGATAGTAGCTTCTATGGAGCTTAAAGTAGTCAAAAGCACTGGCCTATAGAATTGCCCGGAGCACAGTACATTAACAGATTTTATAGGAACCATTTCAAAAAGAAATACCATAGAGCCATTTAATATATAAATGTACAGCGTACACTGTGATGACCATATTAGAAATGAAGTACAGTTTATGTGGCCTTGTAAAGATAACAAGATACAAGATACAGATTTCTTTATTGTCCAAAAAAAATTGAAATAACAAAGCTCATGACTAAAATAGAATACATACTTTAAGTTGTTGTCCGCTATGATGCTAGTAATTATTGTAATATTTTGTTTATTACTTTTTCCATTGTTATTATACAGTAAGATGTATAATATGTAGCTGTTGAGCTTTAAAAATCGTTATTATTATTATTATTATTATTAAGCTGTATTAAAGGCTTTTTTTTGTAATATGGTATGTTGCCTTCATTATCCCTCCCCACCCAAAAATGGATGGAGAATCTATAGTATAGATAAAGTGGCTCACCATACACAAACAGATTAGAAATTTCATGAAAGCTAGGCTCTGTTTTTTTGATATGTTGTAAAACGATTTGACTAATTGACACAAAAATCATGATAAAAAACACGGAAATGGTAAATGAGATGTAGATTTTTGAATATTTAAAATCTGGGGG